ATCGCTATACTAGGATCTTATTCATTTCGAGCTATCTTTAGCTAAAACCTTATATCTTTCTTACTCCGTTGACCCTGTTACTAAATATCAACTAGTAGAAGATCTTTCCTCTAAGACCGATTCGTTATAATCTCTCTATAAACAAATTGATTTCGTCTAAACCTAATTCAACCTACGCGTCCTTATAATACATTTAGATAACAAGAGATCTCTATCTAAATTCTTTGATCAAGATGCTAGATCACGTAGTATTAACCTAGAAACTATACTGCCCTATTAACCTAACCAAAACGGCTACGCTAAACGATACGGTGTATCGATCTCTAAGATAGCTAGGCAGATAACTATCGATTTAGGCCTACTAAGCTATCTTTAGCCTAAGGTAGCTAAAACTGCTATCTTTATACAAAACCGTATTCCTTATCGATCGATTAGCTGGCAATCTCCGTATAAAGCCCTTACTACCTATCTTAGTGACAAAGCACTATATTAGCTTTAGATAAAGCCTGATCTCTTAAATATACGAATTTTTAGATACAAAGCTTACGTACGTATTAACAAGCTACTAAGATTAGCTAAGCTAGCACTACGTGTAGCTATCGGCTATCTAGTAGGCTATGAAGCATACAATATCTGGCGTATTTAAATTCCTACTAACCGCCGTATTATTCGCGCACGTAATGTCTAATTCAATAAGCAAGAATTCTACGACTCCTCTCTATCTAATCAGAGAATTCGTATATACGAAGAATCTAATCTCTCTTAGCTAATCAGAATCCTTGACGATGAAGAAATCATTTAAATCCTTGACGATATCGATATTCTAATTACTATTGACCAATTAGATTCCGTACAGCAAGACCTAGGGGGTAGAAGCAATACTACGACTGCTGATTTCGATCTTGCTATACCTTCTTAATTAGATTCGCCTTATATTTAACTCGATTCTCCTGTTGATTCAGACGAAATCCTTGGTGATTAACTAATTACACTACTACTCGATCCAAAATCAGACGATTCTATAGCCGATTTAGACCAATCTAACTAATCTCTCGATAATCCTAACTAATCAGGAACTTAGGAGCAACTATTTGTCTTGATTAATAATACAAACTTCGATCCTTCTAGCTATGAACCTCTTTCTATGCTAATCAAACGCCCTCGATCTAATTCTGATATAAGCCGAGACCAAGATAAGGTGAAAAGACCTTACTTTAGCCTTATAACCTTTCTATAAGCCTTCTCGTCTTATTAGATAAAATAACTAAAGATTCTTATCTCGTCTATTCCTCCTGCACTACCTAGCTATAACTAATTAGCTAGTCACCCTTTCGAAGAATAATTTCGCTAAGCTATGCAAGTTGAATTTAATAAACTCCTTAATATATATACATTTGAACCAATTAGTGCAAACTATATCAGATTTATATATCAGGCAAATTGCAAAGATCTTGACTAATTAGATTGCCTACGTTATTAATTTATCAAGATACGATAGGTCTTTGCCTATAAATCCGATGAATTAGGCTATCTTACGCGCTTTAAAGCTAGATTATGCGTACGCGGAGATACGCAAATCCCTAATAATCAAGATATACGTACTAGCACCCTTACTGCTAGAACCTTTCGTATACTAATAGCAATTATTACCCGATTTGATCTTAAGACCTTTTAGATAGATATAGTCAACGCTTTCCTAAATAGTACTCTTAAAGAGGAAGTTTATTACTAATATCCTTAAGGAATAGGACGAAAATCGATAGTTCTTCGCCTATATAAGGTAGTATATAGCCTGCGAATTGCTAGTAAGAGATAGGAGGATGATATTAAAGAGCTACTCCTCTTACTTAGATTTAGACCGTGTCCTAATAACCCTGCCCTTTATACTGATAATCGTATAGTGATTATAGTATTTGTTGACGACTTTCTGGCCGCCTACTATAAAAGTGAGAGTTTATACGCTTACTAGATCAAAGATCTTCTCTTATAGCGATTTGAGATAAAAGATTGTAGTGAACTTACTCAATTTATTAGGATTCGTGTTATTAGAGATCGTCCAAAAAGAAAGATATAGCTTAGTCAGGTAGCCTATATCGAAAAGATCGCTGCTAAATTCAATCTTCTTGATAGAAAGCCTCTAAGAACCCTACTTTTGACTAATCACAAGCTAGATCTAGTAATAGGTTAATCAATTAATCCAAAGATCGTTAAATTATATCAACAAAAATGCGGATTAACCCTTTTCGCGGCTGTTTAGACGAGACCAGACACCGTATTCGCTAATTAGCTACTAGCTTAATCGCTTACTCGGTGTAACGAGAAGTATCTAGCTGCTACTAATTATCTTATCTCCTACCTATACGGAACGAGACACCTAGTAATCTACTTTAGGGATAGCTAACTAGATAGCCAGATCTTCACTATTTTATCCGATGCGAGCTTCGCTAATAATTATAACAGAAAAAGCTCCGAAGGATTTCTCTTCTACCTATTCGGTGGACTAATTAATTGGAGATCTCGTAAGCAGAAGACGATTACTACGTTAACGATAGAAGCCGAACTGCTTACAATTAGTTATACTACTAGGTAGCTATATTAGATAAAGCGGCTATTTTTATTTATCTAATTCGATACTAAGCAGTTTGATTCGCTAGATTGCGATAACAAGCAAACTGTCGACCTACTAAATCGCGAGAAATCAGTATTTCAGACTAAACTACGCTATATAGATATTTATTAGCTTTGGATTCGGCAAGAAGTTTAGGCCAAGCGGTTAACAGTCAAATAGGTCAAGACGACTGAAATGCTAGTAGATAGTCTCATAAAACGATTACTAAGCGAAAAACACTATGAATTCGTTAGACAACTAGGCATGGAAGTATCTCCCTTGTCCTAGATCTTACCTTTTGTCTCATTCAGCTCTCAATTTGCTCTTGCTTTCGTCTCATATCGAGAGCTAAGGGGGTATATCAACTTATGTAGGGTCTTCCCGTAGATAACTAAGCCGCCACTATCTTTTCCCCGGAAGATCACCTTCATGACCACTATATTGATTTATATTGATCCTCAACGATCTCGCATTAAACTGCCTATATTGGCCGGAGACTACTCAACACTCCAAGATAACCTCGGATATTCTTGATTTCTTTATGTGATATTTACTATGTACCTCGTGTTATAAATTCTGTTTGCTTTCCTAGCTAAATTGAACAAGTTTGACATCTCTTTTGATTCATGAGTAGATTTCTTTGGCATACCTGATCATACTCTTCTTTTAGTCTAATTAGCCGACCTCTATTTCTCTCATGATAGTCTTTCTTCACCTGCTTATAACACACATATCCTTTTGTGTGCAATCGGATTTTATGATCACTACCTAAAATCCAACAGTAAGGTTATCGTACGGATTCTACAATAGTATTAAATCCTCGACCGAGTCCTAGCGATTATAACGGACAATATATCTAATAATACTACGCTTATAGCTACTGTTAATAAAACAATCTCGGCTCTAAAGCTTAATATTGATTCCGTAATTATCTAAATCCCCTATATCGTATATATGATTCAACTTAGTCTAAACGATCTACTTAGGAAGATAAAGGTATCTGTGAGCAAGCGATGCTGCGCAGGTTGGTAAAGAGGAAGATAAATTAAAGATGATTAAATAAGATCGATTGATCTTTCTTCCTCTTGATTGAATAGGAAGGATAAAATCAATTCGGCTTAGAATCATAAAGATAAGATGAGAGAAGAGTGAGGTAGGACTGAAGCTTGGTTGATTGTATTGAATCTTGCTTGTATGTCTTAAACATAATTATTATCTTGGTAGAGAAAGCAGGGCATATTTATAATCAACTTGTCTCTTGCATGTGATCGTTCTAGATGATGCATGATGATCTCATGCAGACAGATCTAGATGCATAGTGATCTTATGTAGTAGCTGTTTGATCGGTGGTTGCTTGATTGTACGATGTCATTGACTGTAGTGATGATGTAGATCGTGTCATAGTGATGATGTAGATCGTATACTGTTATATACGTCTTACTTGATGTTATTGACCGTAGTGATGATGGTATAGCATAAAGCTTATAGAGATTCAGCCATCTTGTATAGGCCTTATGAATCTGGCTTGATATACTGCATGACGGTTTAGGCATCTTGCCCTATATCTCACAGTATCTCTAAAGAACGATACTGTAGATCTCGAGTAGAAAGAGGATCGCGTATAAGCACTACGTGCCCGATAGCAAACGCGAGAGATTACTGATACGCTAAACAAGGTTAGCTCCCTTGTTACTTAAACGATGATGTTGCTTACAGATTTAAGGTTCGCTATCTTGCTATTTATATTAACGCAAGCTCTTAACGCCGCGACGTATTTTATAACCTTTAGCCCGATAAGCTAAAGCTCGTGCCTATCTAGGACGTACGAACGCGATAGAATTCAATATACCTTATACTTCGGCGGGCTAAGAGACTCTAGGCAACTTTTAATATATTCTGCTCGTAGTACAATCAGCCCTATTTTACACTAAATACCGAGGAGTAGCGATAGATCGATTATCTACTATTCATCCTATAACCCTTCTTTAAATACATAACTATCGTTTATACGACTAAAGACATAAGTATCTACTTAGTCTTTAGTTTCTATAATAAGCTTTTTGATTATCTTGAAAACTCAATCTGCTAACTCCGACGGAAGAAGGTACCTTAGAAGCAGTTAATACTTTCCTTACTTTAGGCTACACAGGATAAGCTATCAAAGTACTACGCTATGACAGATAGTATCGAAGGCGACCTCTACGCAATTAGTACGATCCTAGTACTAGCAAACAAGCTCTAGTTCTTCTTAACTAAGGAATAGGAGTCTAATGATCTAGAGAAGGATTATAAAAGGATCTATCGTGAGAGTCTTGAGTCTTTATTTACCTCGTACGATGAGAAACGTCCGGAAGGAAGGCTTTGATTAGACGCTAAGTTGTCAATGACAACAATGACAGACGCTGATTTACTATTTGAAAACTCGCAAACATCACTACCTCCGCAACAGAACGAGCTTATAAGATACCTTAATAGTCGTACGTACTCTCTTCTCTTTTTACTAAACAATACTAATTCTTTCTTTTAGCGACCGTACGAGGCTCCCCTCGAATCTTCTGGAAAGACCATGAATACGAGTTTCCTATACTCGTAAGCCTTGCCCGGGATATTATGTTAATTCTAGTAACTAGAGCAGGAGTAGAGCGTCTCTTTAACTCTGCTCGGGATATCTGCTATTATCGCCGAGGGTCTTTAAAGCCAAAGACTATCCGGGATATTATGCTATAGATATATACGACAAGATTCGATCTCCAAGAGCAGAAACGGCTTATACTACAGGAATATCTCTTATACTAAGAGATTGCAGCTATAACAGAGGCTAATAAAACACGGGATGAATCGTTTAATCCGATTAGTGATACCGAGGAAGAGACTAAGGATCTAGTGTATGAGGCAGAGGGTATACAGTCCCCTCTGCGGCCTCGTACAGGAACACTTGACCTCGACGATAGAGAGGCTCTAGATCACGAGGAGGACGATGACGACGATATAAACCCCCTCTGCCTAACACACAGCAGCGTGTATCTAGTAGAAAGCATAAGCGCTCGAAGCTACTTGAGGGCTATGTTCTTGGATCTTAATAATTATACTGGTTGATTCTCTGTATCCTATGTTCGGTTATTCGTTCGATGAAAAATGCCCTTTTCTTATAGTCTTATTCCTTGATTCTTAAATCCACTGCTGTATTATAAATTTACAATTGAATACATAGAAAACCTCTCTTAATATGCATATTTTATGAACAGCGAGTAAGTCACTTTTTTTTGTCTGTTTGCCCTGTTTGTAGACCCTGAGGTTCACCCGCGGGTAACCCTCTGAGGGTCGGACCTCTAGGTATACGACCCTCAGGGTCGATAGGTTAGGCGCTTACCCACCCGCGGTGCGGGTAGGGTGGAGGGTCCGGAGGGTCACCCGCGGGTGAGTGCCAGGTCTAATTAAGATAAGGCAGCATTGGTCAGACTTAAGCTCCCAGGAGCCTATAATAATATCTCGCCCTAACAGACAGATTATTTTGGTTCAGCTATCTTGAAGATGTAACATTGTGACGCTCCCAGGAGCAAGTGTTTGGTTATGCGAATAGCAGGTCTTCCGTTTATTGCTACCTAATCTGGCGAGAATAGTATAGCATCAAAACCCCGAAAGGTCTTCATCTTAGTAGTAGGTGATCATAGAAGGGTATCTGAATTTTTATAGAGAGATCTGAAAGTATTCAATCAAAATCAAAGAAAATGCGAAGTTCGTCTGGAAAATCCAAAATTGCCTCTAGAGTTCCCCAAATATAGCCAAGTATCGGGCACGGAGAATGCTCCTAGGAGTATTAGATCTACAATAATTGTAATCAGCCAATTGAACGATTTTCACTAAATACATCCTGTTTACAATGGCAAGGATCGCCAAGGAAGTGGCAAATTTACGATATCCGCTCTTTGACTGAAAGGGAAAAACTGTACAAGGGGTCGGGCTAGCTTGTTGCGTTTTATTAAGCCTGCTTACTCAGATCGCCTCTCGGGAGGAGATTAGTAAGCAAATCTAGGATTGCTCAGGTCAGGCTCAGTGATCAGATCAGGGAGGCTGTGGTCAGGCTCAGTGAGCAAATCAGGATGCTCGGATCGGGCTCAGTGAGCGGATCACCCTTATTACGTAATGATCACTGAGCAGCTCAGGTCGCTCAGGGGCGTGCTCAATTCTACTCAGTGAGCAAAAGCGGCGAGAGGGTGAGCACTAGAAGGGAAGCAGACCGCCAAGAGTTGCCGGACAAAATCCGGTATATATGGACAAACAAACTCGAGAAAGAAATGGCTTCTGATCGCAATTACCTAATCGGGCAATAATTGAATCACGTGACTCCGCGCCACCTCTGGAGACGCGACGCGGAGTCGAAGGTGGGACACTCAGTTCAACGCACATCGCAACGCTTACGATGCGCACTCTCCGAGACTTTTTTATCCGAGTACCTGAACCAAGCCAGCCCATACGAGAGACTCGTTATGCGGCCCAGACGTTGGACGAAGTTCCGGCTTCGTCTCCGCTCTCAGAGCCCCCACGGTCATCTATAACGGTGGATCTCACCCAGGATGACAATGAAAAAGTCGAGGAGGACGTTCCCGCAGTCACTCAAAAAAATATACCACCACCGCGATTAGCCAGCGACAACAGATCAGAACCGTCTGCGCCAAACCAGAGCTTCTTGAGCACCGACTCAATCCCGCTGCCCCCATCACTAAATAGCAGCTTTAACCCATCGCAACGCATCCTCAAAGATGGAAAGGAGGTGGTCATCAGTTCTGATTGCGACGACACCGATTCTATATCCTCTTTGGAGGACCCAGACGTGCTGTTCGCTCCGAAGAACAAACCCAAGAATACTGGTCCTCCCCCGTCAAAGAAATACGAACCGAACAAGGCTCTGCTTGCTCGAGGCTCTGCGCCAAAGAAGCACAAGTACACCATCGACTCTTTGGTGCACGATGCAGTGGACGATGACGAGATTGAGGCTAATGTCGCAAAGGCCAAGGCAACATTGCAGTCACAGCAGAGTAGAGCTCAGGGTGGTCCTAGGGAACCAAAGAAAGGAATGAATGAGGACATGCTGGTACACGCTTTGGGTGGTGATTCTGACGAAGGACCGGGTCTTCAGCGTCTCATAGACGCTGTCCGAAGAACAGAAGCCCTCGAGCAGAATCGCATCTGGCGGTTCTTCGACCAGGGCCAGTTGACACCCGCCACGCCGAATTTCCCAAGTAGCATGTTTCCACCGGGATCACCTCTGGCAGGACTGAGAGGTTGCTCGCGCCACATCCAGCAGGCTTATCAAACACTCACTGACCTTTTTGATAGACCCTGACTCGCGTGTCCGGATCTTTCAGTCCGGCACCTTGGAGTATGCTGCGACGATGCAGAGTTTACCAGACGAGTTCCTCTCGTGGCTAATCCGGTCTAGTATGTCTATTACCTTCTCATCATCTTCCTCTTTCCGGTGCTAATATCTCTTGATATAGTTCCCCTCGAGCCCCGAGAAGAGTTGAGAAAGGCTTATTGTCGGATTTTCACGGTAAGTTTTAAAAGGCTGCTCTGTTAAGTCACTTCAACTGAGAATATACATAGCAAACAGCTCAAGTGCAAGCGGGCCCATTGGTTCGCGGAGATGAAATTGACGGACTCTTTCGTCAACTCGGAGCGAAGCCACGAGCATTAAGTATATGTGGACCTGTTATTGCAGATCCTCATGAACGTAAGATTATTGCTCGTGCACGGCCTGAAGGTTTCTAACTTCTTGTTGCAGCATCATTACAACCGCCACATGATAGGGAACGATCGGCATTGGTTTCCATCTTAAATCTGATCCGAGACATTGCGGCAGCAGAGCTGTTAGTCCTAGCCCTGTGCAACTAAACCCCAAGCCGCGAAGCTGACATATGTCCAGGTTTGACGATGACGCCCAGGCGCACGCCATTCATCTACTGCTTCGTATGTCCATAGATACGTCATTGACTGCGGACTGTGTGATACGCTCAGAGTTGCAGGGAACTTTGACTTCTCTCTTGGAATTTGGGCCGAAGCAGAGAATTGTATGTCTTGATCAATACGTTTGGAGTCTATGCCCAGTCGCTGACCGCAACAGGAACACAAAATCTGCACCACGATTTATGAAACTATCCAAGATCCACAGTTCCAGAGCCGTCTGTTACAACACATTCTTCCAACATCAACATGGGTGTCTTTGCTCCGATATCGCCTTGCCGTTTCATTTCTACTACAGAACCCAGGTCCACTGACCGAACCTCCCGAGGCAGTCCTTGATCTGCGGCGTATCCTTAAGCTCTTGAAGGATGACGCGCGATTTCAATTGAAAAATTACAAGGGGAACCCCGAATACGACTACGGTGACCTAGTCGCTCTCACCTTGCAATTGGAGGTTTGCATCAACTCGACGCTTTTCGACTTGGATTATCGCCAGGCGGACACGGAGGTGAAGTTCAATGAAGCAATCGACCAACTCGCTGCGCAGATCAAAAAAATGTTCACTTCCATTGAGGATACCGGTGCATCTCATCTCCAACGCATGAAGGCGAAGCAGGCGCTGGAGACACTGTACTATCGGATGCTATACTCAGTTCGCTCCAAGGCGCCGCCGAAGAGGACGCTGTTCAAAACCTTTCATAAGGAAACCAATCACAGCATCAAAGACATGTTCAGGAGGAATATTGCCATGGAGAGCGGAGATGGGGCAAGTGATGCTCCCGATACAGAACCTGTCGACGGCATGGCAATGCCCATTCGAAGACATAAGGAATAATCATACCCCATTGAAGGCGTGCAATAAAAGGCAGCTACCCGGTTTTAGCTGCTGCGGCGTGACTCGGATCTCGCTTTACTGGTGACATGTATACATAATTTACGACCGTGACGTGCTTTATGAGTATCAATTGAGCGAGGCATTTTTACATGCATTGTTTCCGAAACTTTCTGCAAACCGTAGATGAAATATCAGATGAACGCTCAGCGAAGACAGACCATATGCTAGGTCAGACATGGGATGTGCAAAGATAGGAAATAAGACAGAGACCCCTCCTCTTTATGGAGATATGGAGATGGTCAAAATGAGGCACATGTAGAACCCCAAACTATAAAACACAGAAACACCCGACAGCAAGACTCGGGAGAGAGTACCAAATGGAGAAATACAGAGAAAACCCAAGAAAGATGTCTAGTCATAGAAACGCCGGTTCGCGTTCTTTCCGAACAATGTCTCTCGCACGGCGGGGAGGGCATCAATCTCCAGGAGACGCAGACGCTCCTCGAAGGTGTTGTTGATCTCGATCTTGCCCTTGCCACCGACAATAACCACACCACCAGCACTGTAGAAACAATGTTGTCAGTACTGAAGCTCAATATTGCCTAGGGATAACAGTGTGACTTACGATCCCTCGGGCAGCGGCTCCGACTCGTCCAAAGTCGCAGTTACTTCCTTGCCAACGTTCTTCTTGAACTCCTTCGCAGCCTCCTCAATAGCCTTCTTCGCAGCATCAGCATCCTGCTTCCGCGCACGAATCTCAACCTTGTCCTCGTTCAGGTAGTAGAAGCCCTCGAGGATCAGTCCCTCCAGCGTGGTCTGGTATTTCTTCTTATCATCCGCAGCCACAGTCGAAACCTTCTTCCGAGCCTTCTCAAACAGCTCATCCAAGAGCTCTTGACGACCACCGAGCACGCGGAGACGAGTCCGGTTGGCAAGAGTCGAGCGGGTAATCTGCTGGGACATGGCAGCCTGCTTGAACTTCTTCTCGTAGAGGGTGTCGATGGCGGCGGTCTCTTGGCGGACAAGCTTGGACTTCTCGATCGCGAACTCCTCGTCGGCCTTGAGCTGGATCTCACGGGCTTTCTCGAGGGCCTCCTGCCGGATGAACGCGGTCATCTTGCGGAGCTCGCCCGCGACCTAGGTTTCGCATCGGACATGGTCAGTCACCGGGTCGCCTGCAGAGGGGTTGTACAGGGTAAGGTTCAATGGGGGGAGAGGACGGGTGTACCTGATCATCGGAGAGGGCATGACTTTGCGACATGATGGCGAGTTTTCAGAGGAAGGCTAGGGAGGAAAAGGAGTGATGGTCTGTCTGGTGGACGGAAGTTGAATGTCGAATGACGTGGGGAGGTGGAAGGGGAGGCGTGTCCAACTAAGCTCGGAGCCGCTGCTCTCCAACTTGCTTTTGCCTTGGCGTCCCATCCGCATCCAGTCCTCCTCCTCCGCACCTCCTCCTCTCCTTGTCCCTGGTTTCTCGCCCTGTAACCCTTTCTTTTTTTTTTCTCTCGTTGCGGCGCCTTGTCTGAACACTCCCTCCGAGTCCTCGCTCCTCACATCATGGAATCTGTACTTCGGTAGAGGTCCAGCTCTTGCGCTCTTACGCAGGCCCCCCGTCCGCGGCCGACATACGATACACTACGATGGGCAACCTCGGAGACTTGTCGCCGCAGGGCAGTATTGCGGTAAGGATAAAGAGACCAAAACTACACAAAAGCCGCGTACTCATGGACTATATTCAGGTCGGAGTGATCGTGGGCCTCGTCTCGACCAGCCTGCAAGCCATCGGGCTTACACTCCAACGCAAGTCCCACCTCCTCGAAGACGAGAAGCCGCTTTATGAGGGGCGCCGACCTCCCTACAAACGCCGGCGATGGCAACTGGGCATGGGCATGTTTGTGATCTCCAACATTGTAGGAAGCACTATCCAGATCACCACGCTGCCACTGCCAGTTCTCTCCACACTCCAAGCGGTCAGTCATCGTTATTACCTTCGGTGGTTGCTTTTTCCCAGGTCTGCAGGACCCAGGTTGACTAACCGTTATGATGAGTGGGAAATAGTCCGGACTAGTCTTCAATACGATCTTTGCGACTCTCATCCTCGGTGAACCCTTCACCCGCTACTCGTTTGCCGGTACAGGTCTTGTCTGTATTGGCGCCATATTGATTGCAACCTTTGGGGCTATCGGGGAGCCGGCGCATACCTTGAATCAGCTATTAAAGCTACTCATGCGACGTCCTTTCCTCATATGGATGGGCATGACCTTGGTTGTCGTAGGGCTTATCCTTGTTGGTTCGAAACTGTTGAAATACTGCATACCGGGATCGCGGGCGAAACCGACTGCGTCGGGGGTGTTAACGACGCATGTACAACGACTTCAGGGCCGGGTCAAACTCTTCCGGGGCATGTGCTATGGCGCTGTCAGTGGAATTCTATCGGCCCATTCGCTGCTGCTGGCCAAGTCGGCTGTGGAGCTGCTGGTCCGCACGGTGGTGGACCGCGTGAACCAGTTCAACCGCTGGCAGTCGTGGGTGATTCTACTGGGCATGATCGCCCTGGCTCTGACCCAGCTCTTTTACTTGCATCGAGGTCTGAAGCTCTGCAGTACTAGTGTGCTATATCCCTTTGTGTTTTGCATCTACAACATCATCGCTATTCTCGATGGCCTGATCTATTTCAGACAGGCCTCTCAATTAGCAGGTTTCCACGCAGGCCTGATCGCATTGGGGACGATCATTCTTCTTGGGGGTGTGCTTTGCCTGTCATGGCGCCTGGAGGATGTGGACAACACTGCCGCTATCACGGTCGCGGGTCCCACGCAGACCGGGATCGGGCCAGGCATGGCAGTTGTTGAGGAACACGACACCTTGTCAACCGGACTGCTGGATGGTCTTGAAGATGAGGAATCACATATCGGAGAAAGGGAGCCGTTGCTCCCTCGCCAGCGACACTTTGCCTCTTACCAACGGGGCCGAGCGCCCAGTCTCCCGCTCATACCACCCATGGATCGACATGAAGCTGCAGATCTCAACGCCGCTTCCATTTGGGCCGAACTCGATGATTCCGACTATGACGTTGCAGATCCAAAATTGCGCTCTTCACTTGAACGACCTCGTAGCTCAAGCAGTAGTGCAGCTCTGAATGGGCCCAAGCGCGGTCTTTTACGACACTCAACCACCGGCCCGATATCGTATCATCGCCCATGGGGATCTCGTCGTCCTGGCCTGTCAATACAACCTGGGCAAAGACGGTCATCTGCTCCATTGGCAGGATTGATGGGGGCTCAACGCCGGTGGCGCAGTGCCTGGAGCCCTGTCACTGCCTCGCCTGTCTCGCAGGGAGTTCCCAGTTACGGCACCATACAAGAAGACGACGGTGTTTCTCCCGGCCGTGTTGAATCACCTACACCACAACCAAGGTCAACATTCAATATTCTCGCGGGCCCGAGAAGGACGTTGGCGGGTGCCTGGCGGAATGGACGCCAGTATCTACATCGATGGACGAGCCCGCAGGCGGGCAGTCATGACCATCCCAGTGTCAGCGCCAGTGCCCGAGACGGGTCCTCATCTCCATTACTTCCACGATCTGAAGCCGGCATACCACAGGCTGGGGATACAGACACCCATCATCCAAAGCAAGCATCCGGCACGCCATCGTCACTGTAAAGACTCGAGATTGTTCTTCCCATTTCTTATACATCCCGTCTCCTACACCTAGCCTCGCCTTTCCCAGCCTCAATATATACCCTGAAGACTCATACTTCGCTTTTTACTATCTTTGACCTGTACAGTACGGACACATGCCTTCCCCCAGAATTAGCAGCGGGAAAGGAGGTATGTGTTTTCCAATCACTTGGCAACCAAGCAACAAGAATCATGGAAGATGGCTTGGCTACTTTCCCCGGTGTGCTATTAGCTGTCCAAGATACTACGATACGATACCACTTTTTCTTTTCTGTTTTTCTTCTCTGATGTACGTTTGAATGAACAGTGAATGCTCCATGCATAATATGGGTCTATCTATGTAGAGGAAGCACAAATTCTAGTTCTCGCTCTGCCTGTCAAGTCTTCAATAAGACCATACTAGACGATCATCATTCAATAGTTTACCTACTCACCAGTGAGAGAAACAACATCGTGGAATGCCTATTCATATACAGATGGATGAGATCTGGGCTAGTATCTAACGCACTTTATCCGTGGATTCATCCCAAGTTCCTACCAAATAGCAACCCACCGATCAATACATCAGCAACCACTCGAAAACCCGAAACCAATATTAACCCCCGACAAATCCAAGCGTGCCCCAGTCTCTAGAGGTTTCAATGAGCTCATGTCGAAACGCAACGGCGCCGTCTTTCCAGGTTCTGTAACTATACAAAACGGGTCGAAACATCCCTTCGTCCATTGCCCTGGGGAGAGCAAGTCTTGGAACAAGAAATTTAGTACAAACTTCGTCGGTCTTTTTGCACAGCGCGCTGTCATCCACCCTTAGAGCGGATGACGGGGATGTTGCACCCGTGGCGAAGTCTGGAACCTTACCTGTATACTAGAAGGCTGGCTCTATGCTGGATGACTGCTAGTTAATAAAACCCGTTATTATCGAAGGTTCATTATCCGAAACGAATATGTTCCTTTTGTGTAGATCGGGATGAAATAAGGTCGGCGACGCCGTATCGTGAATGCGACTATCAGCGGACATAGCATGTAGCACAGCACAACCCTGTTCGAGAAGGTCTAAATGTGTCTGTACTGATCCATGATAGGATGGTCGATTTGGAAGTTGAGATTCCCTAGGCGGAATCCTTGAAATTCCTGCATCAATGAGGCTATAGGGAAATGCACCGATGGTTAATCCTGTATCCCCGAGTCTTAGCCCTGATCTTCTCAATTAAAGAGTGAAATAAACAACTCACATAGGCCTTGGTTGGGAACTGTATGCTGGTAGTACCTGTGGTCACCGTAACTCCAGTACCTTGTTCCACAATGGGGTCCGATGCAGAAGTCTCCATCTAGCGGTAGCCTAGAGGAAGGCTCGAATAGCGTTATTACAAAATATAAACTTCCATATGCCGGAAAGTTGATCTCGGCCGTCTCCCTAAGCTTTCTGTAGATAGCATCTATACATCTTACTTTCTAATCACCCGACATATCGGGCCACTTATGCTATAGCTGAATACCAGCCGCATGATCTATGATTATGTATTCGCTTCCAATACTGTTTGCCGCATCGTCGCTCCAGTCAAGAATTTTAGGAATCGGAATGCTTGTTTTCGCTTGTACTATATTGCATATATCGTTAGCGAGAGTTGATTCTTCTCTGGTTTGTTGTTCCACGCATAATATTGAATCGTTGCTACTTCGGAAGCAGTAGTTATTTTTGCGGGTCCTGCTAAGGGAAGGGAAAGGGTAGGCGCGCCACGATACGCAAGCTGTCGTCCATAATGAAAATGAACACCCTATTGAAACCGCCCATTTTTTTCTCATAATCCTTGATAGATTTTGTCCCATTAAATAAGTCCACTATCCTCTGGCAGAGTTTGTCAAAGTTTAGGTCAATCCGGCGCATCTGGCGTTGATGTTTGTCGTTCCAGAGCCATCGACCGCTTGTATATGAGTGAGCATCAAACCCTAGAGTTCTATTATTATCGATAATCGACATGTTATCATTCATTGGGCTTACCATATCTCGTTGTCTGGTCCATTGCATGCCTCGAGAACGACTGCACTCGACTAAGCTTGGAAAAGGAGGGTCCAAACCCAACGCCTTGACTGAGAGCAGGGTGGATATAATAAGACTGCCGAGGGTACTTGGTCAGGAAAAAAGGCGTTCGCAACATTGAAATACCTTTGAGAGGATCATTGTACAAAAAGTATAGAGAGAAGTATCGGAGGAATTACCTTTATAATCGTTCTAAGGGAGGCTGACTTAAAAAGTTTGCCAAGACCGGACCGGGGTAGGTAGGAACAAGACTGCCCTTGAAGGATTAAGCATCTGAGATTAGAGCAATCAGCTGAAACTGACGAGGAAAGAGCCAAATACCAGCGTTGTTGGCTATTTGATTAATCGATATCATCACACAGACTGGAAAAGCTTCTTCAATGATCGGTCATTCAAGAAAATCAGGGCTTTGTATATCCCACGTAAACTGGAGTCCAAGTACACAATCCACGGAGAGTGAAATCTAGAACATGACTATACTTGATCGATGGACTACAAGATAAGCAATCATATCATAAACAATAGCATTAATCCCATACATCTCAATCTCCAGCGATGGCACCAAGACATAACAATATCCAAACATCATCACCATACCATACCATACCAGATACACGAAGAGAGATACAAATACTATTCCCAGGACTGTGCTAAAGCCCCCAAGCCAGAGCAAAACATCACAGCGTAGCCATTCCAATACGTAGGTGTAAGCAAGACACATTGCCTCTCCAAACCTGCGCAGGTGTGTGTGACGCAAGCGAGGACATGGGGAGATCACCGGGATAGAATAGAGGTAAAACACATCGGTTGTTGAGATTAGACACTTGGGAAAAAAAAAAAAAGGCACAGGGAGATAAAAGTTAGGAGAATTGGAACCAAGCAGAATCAATAATGGTCGTATGAGATAATAGCAAAACAAAAACACGAGAGGGTGGAAAACTTCCACATCGCCGACAAATCAGTGCACCACGAACACCACCATCCTCCGCCATTTGATCTAGGTAGAGGGGGCAAGGGGGGGAAATCAGAAACCAGCAAGAATAGCGTTCAAGTCCAGATTCGCAATTGCGCTTCTTTTCTTTTTCTTTTTCTTTTTTTTGTGCATAAGATTTTCCGCATGTTTTCCTGTCATGGCTTGAAAGTCCAAGTTCACTAGAAGAAGGTTTGTTACCAACCCCTATTCTTGAGTTCAAGGCACAATACCATAAGAGACCGGATTTCGGGTATCAAAGACAGACTGGAGATAATATCCAGTAGAGTGTTTGACAATATACACTTCACATGTTGGAGTGGCAGAGATAAAGAAAACACAATAGTGCCATTCTCCACGAGGGAGGAGGGGGGAAGAGGGAGAGAGAACGAGAGGGGGAGAAGGGACGAGGGATCAGCATGGATGGACGGGTATCAAATGAACGCGAGAGAGTTGGATGTGCAGGGGGAGAAAACAGGAGGCAAGACACAGTACTTAGGACCCCGTCCCCAGCGGCGCGTAAAACATAGAGGAAGTTATTTACGCCGTGGGTTGGTGCTGCGGGGGCATGCGGTTACCCACTGGCATACCGGGATACTGGCCACCTGCTTGCTGTTGCTGCTGAAGGTTCTGATAGTAGGCCATCTGCTGCTGCTGCTCGTTGGTCATGTAGCCGGGGTGCATGCCAGGGCGGGGCATGTTGGACTGCGGCGCGTTGACATTGTGGCCGACATCCTCGGGGGTCTCGGCCGGGACATCGGGAGCATCGACACCATTCTCATTGGTGGTGGGATCAGGCGCGTTCAAGCATGCCTATAGGGTAAAGTGTTAGTCGACCGGGGAGAGTGGCGATAACAAGAGCAATTCGATGGCGTCGACATACCTGAATGAGGTTCTTGCCCTCGGCCTTGGTGACGAGAGGCTGCAGCTTGGGGGTGGTGAAGGTATAGACGAGACCCGTCTCAGAGACAACCAGCAAAAGCACTTGGGTGCCGGTGAGAACGGACAACTCGTAAGCCTATTTGGGAAATTGAGGGATTCAAGTCAGCAAACAAAGTATATAAAATGCTATCATTGTTTTGATCTTTTTTCCCAAGCGACCGAGTCCACATCGCGACTCGGCACGTTCGAACGTGTCCAGCATAAAAAGAGGAGGAGGGGTGAACAGGGAGAGGAAGTACGAGTGGTGTCGCGACGGGGGAAGCACGTACCTTCTTCATGATACCAGCCTTCCGCTTGGAGAAGGTGATGTGGCGACGCGACTTATCCTGAATAAACTTGATCTCAATCTTGCGGCGCTCACGGCCGGGCTTGTCGTCATCATCATCGTCGTCCTCGGCGCTCATGCGGTTGCGCTTGGTGCCACGGGCATCGGCGCCGTTACCAGCCTGCTGCAGCTCATCATGCTGGCTGGGGGAGAGTTTCTCGTCGACGGCAGCCATGTCGGCCATGATGGAAGGAGGAAGAAAAGAAGGAAGGTGGGGAGGGGGAGCAGAGATAAGATGAGTGATTCAGAGAGTGAAGCACGTTCAGGACGAGGCAGTTGAGAGCAAAGGGTTGGCCCAAAGGGGAAGGGAATCGAAGAATACCCAATCGAGTAACGCGTTTTGGGATCGCAGGGTTGGAGAAGGAAAGGAAGGGGGGAAGTCGAAGAAGGCAAAGTGCGGCGGACGAAGGGGCAGGCGGTCAGTCACGTGTGGAGTACGGTATCGGACGGGCAATACCGAAGTGGGGCCCGCTGGGAAGCTGACCAGTACTTGATGTGCAGGAGCAGGATACCTGTACGCTACATACAAATTGCATATCTCCCCCCAGTACCCGTCCTGGTATCCCCCTCTTCCCAGGGGCGATATCGCTCTGTTTCCTGACGGTATCCCCCTCCTCTCGTTCGGCCACACTCGCTCTGATTGGTGGCTCCTTCAGGGAGGGCCACCTCACCGCGCTGGACTGCACGCCCCACGGCCTCCGCTTGCATCCGCTTCGAGGCAAGCGTAAACCCAATTTCACTGGCTGGTCTGGACTCGAGCTGGAAGCCTTGTCTCAGATGTGAATGAGGGGGAGATGGTGAGTTCACAGAAGAGGAAAAAGGCAATCCATATCACCCTCGGTTTGCCTTATGCATAATACTTACTTTATTCTTTCTTCACGCGAGTCTATATATATACCCTTTATCCTACACCCATTCTCTCGCCCTACTGCTGTTTGCCTCCTTCGTACTACCTGACAGGCTTCCCCTCTCGAGTTTCCATACTTAGCCGCACCTCTCCAGCTCCAGCAGTCCTGCAGTCCTGCATTCCCACATACCGATCCGCTCCCGGGTTTTGGCCCCCAGCCAGCAACGCTGCCGATCTCCAGCGATGCGATCGGGGAAATTCCAAGACAAATAAGCAATCTCCCTAACTAACGAGCACTCCCACGGAATCAGAATCCTCAGAACTCGTCCAGAACACCTCTTCCCCCCCCCTGCTCATCCCCCCACTAAACGGATATCCGTCGGAGAAACTCAACCCATTTTCTGGTAACAAAGTATACACAAAGTACGGAGTCCCATATTACCCATTAAATTAACCGAAAAAAAAAAATGTAAGCTCATATTTCTCCGTTTGGACAATGCTGGCACGCATCCGGCAAGACAAAAGTACTGCACATAAGCCTCTCAGTACTGTACAGTAAGTACTCCGCTGCGATCGCGGGGAAATGGAGACCACAGAGAAGGAAGGAAGACTCGCCAAGTCGTACAACAAAAAACCTGCGGTGTACTACTCCCCCCCCCCCCCCCCCCCCCCCCCTTTTCCCCTTCCCCTTCCCTTCAGCTACTGCAATAAGCTTGCATTTATCTCAATGGCCCATCCAAATTCCATACTCTGCAGAAAACAGATCGAAGAGTCTGTTTTCGGAAACCCTTGCCCGCTATAGCTCTGAGGAGAGGCCTCAATCGAGATCACGATCACATTCAACGGAGGCATGAAGGCATGCGCCACATAATGGAGGTTCCTGTCTAAACACGCCGGAATCTGATCTCATTCCGTCTCTTTTGCTTCCATCGTCAGCGTAAATACATACTACATAGCATGTAAGCTTCCACGGTCATGCTCCCACGGCCAAAGTACAGGAAAGAATATAGGACGGGCAGAATATGTCAAGTATCTAGAGCAGCGACAACAGACTGATTATTACCCTAGTTATCTCCGATCTCTCATCATTTTGCCCGTTTACCTCCAGGGCTACTCGCTGGGGAAACCAACTCCTGTAAGACTACACAAGGCTCCAATTGCCGAATTGATGCATGGATCCATGCCAAGTACCGACAGATATCATGCTTGAGCCTAAACCCAGAAGATCCACGAGATCCGATCATCCTTGGTTAGCGGGCCGGTCCGAGAGTAATAGAAAGGACATTTTCCATTCCAGCAAAGGTACTGAATTACTGGTCGATCTCACATGGACAAGCAGAGTCCGAGCGTATTTGATGCTTGCGATGGTTGTGGCACAAGCCCTGTGCCTTAAACTAGTCTAGGCATATTTTCCGTACGCAGAATTTGACAGAACTCATCATATTCTTCACATAAGAACAACAGTTCAACGCTAATCACCAACGGAGACCCAAGCACGGCCTTCGGTTCTCAAGTCTATTTTTACAAAGCAATGCATGGGCATGGATAAAAAGAAGCCGCTGCCTCTCTCTCTCTCGTCCGCCAAGTCACAACGGGGAATCATGAGAGAAGCCAATAAAGAGGAATCAACAAAGAAAGAAAAAGGGAAGGACGAAAAAGCAAGCCAGAGAAACACGGGGTGAGAGAATGACGACTCAAACCGCAGTGTAGCAGGCAGCTTAAAACAAGTGTAGAAGGTGGTCTGTGAGGTGGCGTTCAACAGATGGGATATAGAGGGAGTACATAAAACCACCTAGGGCTCCTGCACCTGAATGGACTCCACCAATGCCAACGCCGGATAAATGAACAATCAGGAGGACGCGGAGTTCAGGTCACGATCACGAGTCTCATCCGGGATCAAGAGGGAAATAAAAGGTCGTGGGAAGAAAGGTAAATATGGATGCAAAAGGGATTGGCGTCGTGATGTGGTGGGGAAAATAAAAAGAAGGGTGGAGAAATAGTCGAACAAGTAATAAGAAAAAGAGAATGAATCATGTGCAGTGAAGTAAAGATGTGGGACGACCAAGAGAAGGAAAGAGGAAGAAAGAAAAATACGAAACCCTCAAGGACCAGCCTTGTAATCACTTGCGGAGTTGTTCTTTCTTCTTTCTTCTTCCTCTTACGTGACGAGCAAGGAAAAAGAGAAAAAATCATTGCTGGTAGGTACCCTGGATGTGGTGATCAGAAAGACCACCGCCACCACCACCCGTGGGACCGAGCCAAACAATTTCGATCACACTGTGGCCCTCATCTTCCTCACGCACGTAGAACTGGTGCACATTGTCACCGACGACGTATGCATCGTGCAACAACCACCGGTCCTTGATGACACCTTCATCCTCCGCGGGACGCAGAGGAGCCAGACGCTCCTCGAAACCACGGGGGTCCTCAGGCCAGGTCTTCTCAACCGCATCAAAGTTGATGGCGTCGTCAGACACCGTGGAATCGTAAGTATACTTGACCAGAGAATAACCATTGGTCAGGACCCAGAAGTGGCGGACCGACTCGCCGGTTGCCTTGTTGATGGTCTCTTCTTGGTCGAAGATCCAGCGACGCAGCACCGATTTCCGACCGGCGGCAGCAGCCACGGTAGTCATCTTCACCACGTCCTTGGTGTACCAGGAGTTCCAGTGGTGCATAGTCTCGATCCTGCGGCCAGACTCATAGACACCATCCACAGGGTCAGTCATGTCCATCTGGTACAGCGAGGGCCAGAGAGTCAGAGGAGTGTCACCGAAGCGCTGGATACACTGGCCAAGCTTCTGGTCACCGGGCTGCTCACCCCAGGACTGGCACTCGTCGTAGTACTTGTCGAGCACGTCCAACAAAGGCTTGGAGACCAAGACACCGGCACCACCGAAAGCGATGTGGCCGAAGGTCTCGACTTGCCAGCTGGCCTCGGACAGAGATCCAATATAGTGCTTCTTTTTCTCATCGAACAGCTTCAATTCCTTGGCGATGGTAGGTAGAGACAGGAAGAAAGTGTCGTCGTCGCTGAAACCGACCCAGGTGGTGTGAGGACGGTGCTTGCGAATGTGCTCCGAGAAGGCCTGGACCATGCCGAAGTAACGGGCAGTGAAGTCCAGCGGGGAGGCCTTGAGAGTCAGATCCAGACCACGGTTGCGGAAGTAGGTCTCCTGCTTCTCCAGGTCGTCGTCGGACTCGGGAACTAGAACAATCAGGCCAGCCTTGGTGTTACCATAGCTGTATAGGAGCGAGGGAAGAAGACGGTCGAGGCGATCCACGGTAGTGGCCAGGCCGAACAGGAGCTTGGACGTCTCCTCGACATCATCATCGGCAGCCACATCCACGTCGATGATTTCGGGACAGACAAAGTTTTTCTCTTCGTTGTTGGGAGAGACAACCATACCACGCTCCATCTGAACCATGGGAGGGATCACGGGCTTCTCAATCTCTTCCAGAGTGTTGAACTCGGTTTCGGGGCTGACAATGCGAGGGCGGAAGTAGGCACGGGTGTAGTTCTTGCGGGGGAGCCATTCGGAGAAGGGAAGAGGAGCAGCCAGCTTGGGGTCAACTTCGCAGGTGCGGATTGAGGGGTCCGAATCCTGAGCAGGGCTACCTAATTGCGTCTGGCTGCCACCCAAGTTGACACGGTCCATAGGGTGCTTGAAGCGGAGCAGGGCCGACCGATCGTAGCGTTCCATGCACCAGAAGAAAACGCCAATCGACACCAGGGCGATCAACGGAAAGACCGTCTTTAGCCGGAAAAGAGGCATCCTGACGGTATTATGCGAAGCCGATTTTTCGAACATGTACGTCAAGTTTGAATCGACAAAAAAAAGCGAGGGCGGGGAGGGAGAGCGGTATTTTTGTGCTTGGCGATGCGACACGTTCGCTTCAAATTAAGATTCTCTTATCAGATGGAATTGGAGCAGGGTTGAATCAAGCGAGGATGTCGTGTTCCCGTAGAAGAATCGTGAAGCCAACAGGAGGAGCAGAGCACCGAAGACGATTCTCGAAGCGAATGTGGGTGACCAGAGACTGGCGTTTAACGAATGACAGGCAAATCAAATGCCGAAATCAACGAGAGGCTGGCAGCGTCGGGACCTGCGACACGGTCCAAGAAGGTGTGGGAACAGAAGTGGTCTTTTGGGGGAAATTTAGGCGCGGTTGACGGGGGTTGGTGTTTGCCGGAGGAAGGTGAGACGGGGGGAGAGGAAGCAGACGAGAGATCAACGCGGCTGGACAGGGAGTCCAGGGCGAGAAGCAGGTCGATGCTGGAGAGGGAGGAGGGGGAGATCGTAAAGGGTGTTGGAAGGTGTGAAATGGGAGGAAGA